AATAGCGTTGGCTTTGGTAAAAATAACACGATGCAGAGTAATTTATTACAAATCGTCCCTTTATTATTGACTATATATTAACCTCTTAACCCCTCGCTGATGTGCTGTTGATGTACTTTGGCGGCGCTCACTGTGTAATATATCCTAAAAAATCCAGAGCATTTAGTGGTCCATTGGTTCTGGCTGTTCCTTTACTCGTGCGCCCTTTATTTTTATTTTTTTTATTTAAACATAGAAACGGACGATTTCGAATATTTCCCGATTACGCTAACGTTACTAACAAACGAAACGAAGAATCGGTCCGGTATAAGTGATTAAAGTGTAAAACCGTTTTTGGGTCATGGTTTTAAAAATTTGTAAATTATTTAAATAAAATTTATAAATTATATATAGTTATTACTGTAAAGTGAAAATTAATAAAAAAAAAAAAATAATAATATGTTAAATAAAAAGAGAGATATATATAGTATCTATAAAAAATTTATGTACAATCCAATCTCATTAAATAGCATTTATACCAGAATCTTGAGAATCCGATATTATATTTATAATCAATCCAATTGTTCATTTGCGTATAGATTCGCCTTGAATCACAAATTCCAATACCGAATGACAAAGCTAATAACTATTTACTAATTTACTAATAATTTTTTTTTTTTTTTTTTTTTTTTTTTGAGAGTAAGTATGGTTTAATAATAAAATAAAATAGGAAGAAATATTTCAATGATAATGATAAAAAGCTAAAAAGTATATACTTAATCCTTTCGAACTCGTTTTTTTTTTTAAAAAAAAAAAATCAAAATTCAAAAGATATGATAATTAACCAATAACCACCAAAAAAAATCTTACCTACTACTTAAGTTCCAAATAATTAGCAGGAAAATTTCCTTCTTTTCCATTACACTTCCCAAACCACCAATCATTAGTGCTGTTGGTTTTTCTTTTAATAATAATGATATCACCCTTATTAAAACTAAGATCATCATCTTGTTCACCTTGAAAATCAAAAGCAGCAACAGCAGTTTCGACATTTTTGCGGGGTGGCATAGGAGGTTTTGGAGCCAAAGGAGGTTTACCAGAAGTCGAATGAAAAGATGTTGCTCTTTGAGTAACATTTGATGATTTTGGAGATTCTTTATTTTTTTCATTAAAAGGGTTATTTGAACTGTTACCTCCACTATCAGAAGTATAAGGAGGAGGAGGATGACTAAATCGATTTGAATTAACCGAAGAATTAATTTTGCTGGTACGGGGAACAGACTTTGTTGTTTGAGGAGGATGAACTTTATTATTATTATTATCATCATTTTTATTAAAGGAAGAACCTTTTGTCACCAAATTTAAAGCTCTATATAACACATCAGCTTGCTGTGGAGGAGAAATTTGACCAGAGAGTAATTCTTTTGCAGTAACCTTACGATGATAAAATTTTTCGTTAGCTTCTTTTCTTTCGACAACGATACTACCTTCAATTGACACACCAGCAAATAACCCTTTTGATTTACTATAAGAGAATATGGCAGCAGCATGACCAAGTGATACAGATCCAGCACCTTCAGCCGTACGACCGATAGGACCTGCTGCCACGGATAAATTCCCTCCTAACGTGACGTTACCACCCTTCGTAAATGTTTTTACCGCATCCTTACTATTCAACACTATAACGAAATCTGTCATTTCGGCACCTATTTGACCTCCAAATCCCATACCTCCTGTGCCTATTGCAGAAGGTGCGCTCCATGATCCATCTTCTAATTTTGATATGACCAAACCCGAACCCGCTCTACCTGAGACCAAAAAGCCTGCTTTGATGACCGTAAAGATCGCAAAACCTTTTGCATTTTGCAATACAGTTTGCGGAATAACTTTGTCAGGACCTTTTGCTTCAATAGGATCGATAAAACTATTCAAGATTTTAGCTGCTTTTTTACATTCGGTTGCGAGATCTTTTGGTATGGGTGAATTGACCATAACTAAATAACGTTAAAAAGAAAGAAACACAAAATTGAAAAAAAAAAATTCCATGACATCAAAACTTTATCATATGTTCCATAACAAATATGCAACATAGACTATTTTTGCAATTGGCTGAAATTAATGTATAAAGGAGAATTCTTCTAGAAATGAATAGTATGGGCTTGCTTAACGTGACACCTGGCAAATGAGTATTTTTCTATCATCATTATTACTAAATTTAAATCTGATCATTCATTGTTCGGCAAATTTCATTCCGGTTTTGAAATGTGGTTATTTTTAAAAATCAACCGACAAAAAAAATTCCCTTCCATAGCTTACAAATGTAAGTGGGCATGCAGCACGATGATAAAAGTCGTGTGAAATTGATTATATTTGAAACTTGAATGTTTTTTTTAAAACAAAAAAAAAAAAGGGACCTAAAATAGTCCAAATGGATTATGGGTTATTTATTTTTTTTTTTTCGTGAAACTGTAGAAGTTTTATTGATACATACATAAAATAGGGCACCAGTAACTATATAAAGAATTTGAATAAAAATTTGTTTGTTGAAATTTTCAAAAAATTCATAAAAAAAAAAAAAAAAAAAGTTATGCAGGAAATAAGTCGAACGTTATCATATTTGAATAATAATAATGACTCAACTATTAACATCCCTCCGTCAATTGACGTGAGTTCCAGACTACAAAAAAATAAATCTTCCAATAATTTAATCGCAAATTTTATTCCACGAGCAATTTTTTTATTTAGTGTTGCGTTTATATCATTATACATTATAATACTATTAGTACAAAGCATACCAAATTTATCTTTGCCTACATCCATAGAAGGTGTAAAACTTCAAGCTATGATATTAGAACATTATTCTGGTGAAACTTGGCAAGGTTATTTGCATATTGTCATAGTGTTTTCTTTAATTTACATTTGGAAGCAAGCCTTTTCCATTCCAGGAGCCATCTTCCTCGTAAATATCATGGACTTTTTTTTTCGCTTTTTGGTTTTTTCCTTTTTATCAATTTTCTTTTATTTATTTATTATCATTTTATCATTTTTTTTTTTTAAAAAAAAAGAATATATTGGCAGGTGCTTTATACGGACCATTGCTAGCTACTTTGATGACTTCCTTATTGGCAGCCATAGGAGCTTCTTGCGCATACCTGATAAGTAAATTTCTTGGTCAGCCTATAATGGATCAATATTTATCCGATAAATTGAATTATCTAAGGAAGCAAGTCAATGATAATAGGGATGGTTTATTTTTTTATTTGTTATTCATAAGAATGTTTCCTCTATCTCCATGGTGGTAAGTAATTTTAAATTGGGTTCGTTTCATTTTTTATTTAAAAAATCAAGATACTAAACGGTTTGTCGTCATAAAACAGGCTGCTTAATTTGGCTTCGCCGTTATTATATATACCGCTCGGAACATTTTTTACATCAATGTTTTTTGGTTCCATATCATATAATTTGGCTTGTTGTCAAGCTGGTGAAATTTTATCGGAATTGTCTTCAACTAATGATATTTGGCAACCTTTACTTCTCTTTAAAATGATTTTGGTTTCTTTAATAAGTTTATTTCCTCCTTTATACACAAGAAGATATAAAAGATTACAAAACAATAGTAAACCCACAAACGATCCCTCTGCCGAATTCTTGATCAATAAAACCGAACAAGAAGTTGTTTAGTTTTTTTTTTTTTTTTTTTTTTAAAAAAAAAAATAATAATCCCATTATATATTTGTAATTTGTATAATAAAATAATATATTATTATTTTTTTTTTTTTTTCTTTTTTTTTTTTTTTAGTATACTACCTTTTTAATATTTTTTATCCGCTTTTTCAGTTAATTACATAGTAATTTAGTTAAGAACAAAGCGGAAATTAATTATTAAAACAGTAGTATTATAACGTTTATATGAAATGAAAATAAATAATTTATCGACGTGATCATCAATTTTTTAATTTTGACTTATTACGATTCTTTTTTTTTTTTAAAAAAAAAAAAGGGTACTTTATGAATTTTAATATATCACAAGTTGATATTGACGCAAAACAATCATAAGCGATCTTTTGACACGCTAACACGGGAATATCTTTTATTCAACGGAATTTTAACCAAACTGTCCTTATAATATAAATATATCCTAAAGTAAATTCGGAAAAGATCAAAGGTGATCGATATTTCAAAATGAATTTAAAAAAGGAGAAAAGATTGTAATTGAGTTACAAAAAGTATTTTTTTACGATGTGTTTGAAAAAAAAATGGAAATTTACCTTTCCACTATATAATTTTTTTTTTTTTTTTTTTTTTTTCTTTACACTTTCCTTACAAGAAAATATTTGTAAGTGAACATTAACGTAGATATATCTCAAAATGCGATGGAATCCCTTCAATAAACCATCATGTTCTTCTTTCATCTTGGTTCTCTTATCATTACTTGCACAAATCATTGTCTCGCGAGCAGATGTAAATGTCACCAATCTAAATAATTCAACGAATGCTTCAATCTCGAACCCACAAACTCCCAATACAACATTAAGCACGCTGCCAACTGCGACGCAAACACCGACAAATTTTAAGTACGGCATAGCGAATTCATCAATTAAAGATTATAAATATCCGGCAACATTATCGGATGGAACTTTGGTATTCTTGGTGAATATTCCGAAAGTTTGCAGTGAACGATCAATCATCTTACAAATCTTATACGCCAACGGCACGACTAGTATATTTGACGGACTCCCTCAAGATCCTATTTTATTCTGCAATATTAGTTTTGCACAAACACTGAGAGTTTACCCGATCGATCGTAATTTGGTTATGGTCACGTACATTGTAGAAATCCAATCATCACTTCAACATCTGGGAATAATTATTAACGTGAAGAAAAAAGTCACCTTGCATAACGGAAAATTTTACGATTATCCACAGCATTCGAACATAACTAATGCTTCCTCATTAACACTTTTCAGTCCGAATATTGACCCTAAACGCGGATTTTTAATGGCGTATTTTGATTATGATGGTGCATATTTGGTATGGTGGAAGTGGAAAGATAATGACCTTAAGAAGGTTTACGAAAATCGAGTAGCTCTTCCGAATATAAATATTTCATTCGAGACACCAGGACAATCGACATCAAGTGTATTTCCAACAAAAACCGGTGGTTTTGGGATAGCTTATACAACTTGGAATGATCAAACTAGTAATGATACTTTATATGTAACGGGTCAAGTTTATTTAAAATTCTTGGGTGTCGACCACGAACTTAAAGGTCCTTTTTTAATTTATCAAACTTCTTTAAGGAAAAGATTGGGTTTGAATTCATGCAGTGTGTCGTATGATAAAGATGCCGGTTATCAATGTATATTGGAAATTGATGACCTCCCCGCGTTACATAGTTTGAAAATAGATTTTTGGACGACAGGATCGGTGATTAATGTGACAGAATTGGGTCAAGATAAAATAAATGGTGGACTTATAGTTCGCGGTCAACCTTTAATGACCGGAGGTTTTCTTATAACGATGATTTCTAGTGAAGGTGTAAATGGATACATAATTGATCAATCTGGTGATATCGTTGGTGATTGGGGTTTACCTCATGAAATTGGGCTTATTTCCGGAGTTTTCCCGAATAACACTGCGTGGGCTTTATCTAGTAACTCGAGTGATTCTTCTAATTTCGGTATCTTTTCGTCGAAATTGAAACCTCTTTACAATCGTAAGTTTAAAAACAATCGCGATTTATCTTTTTCTCTTGTCTTCATCGTGGCTAACAATCTCTTTATCATTTCTTTTTCATTTACTTAAAATAAAGCGAGTGATTATGGCAATATCTTTATTAAGAGTACTTCCCCAAACATTGATGGAAGTGTGATGATTAACGGTGATTATGAACTTCAGTCCAAGATTACTATGGAATTCAACGAACCGATTAAAGTTTCCGACGAATCTCTTTCAATTTATCAAATTGTGAACGATACGTATTTGCTTCGTCAAAAAATTCAAGCGACAAATCCAAAATTAACATTGGATAAAGATAATCGAATTCTTTATTTGACAAATGCTATATATAATAGTAGCTTTAATGTTCCCGGAGGAATTTATTGCATTGAAATGGAACATAATTTTGTTAGAACCCTTTCGGAAGATGAGCCTCTTCTTGGTATACTTAAAAATCAATGGAAGTTCACATTAGAAGATTTTGATAATCACAAATCATCAGGTAAATTAATATTTGAATCGTTGTCAATTCATTCATGAAATAATCAAATAAATCAAATAAATAAATAAAAAAAAATAATTTATATATGGTTCCTTTTTAGGTTCTCGAGTGGGTATATTGAGATTAAGAGTAGATTTCTCATCGAAAGAAAAAAAAGGCGTGTTAAGTAAACAGAATAGAAAAGAATTTCTATATAATTTATTAAATGATATTTCATCCTATATCCCATGTGATGCAAACAGATTAAAAGTAATCGACTCAAATTTCATTGAGCTTCGCAATAAAGGTGAACAATTTGCATTTAAATTAAAAATTGGTAAGCCAATTTCTTCTAATGAGAAGGAACCAAGTTCCCAAAAGATTTTTTCGGATCTGCAAGAAATGATTCATAATTTAGACAATACCGGTCTTGCCCTTAGTGAATATGCCAAGTATTTGGATCAAAAATCCGGATTAGTTGAACAAGGTAAGTTAAATTAAAGATTTCTAAAATGGATTTTTTTATTTTTTTTTGGATGTGGTGTGTTTAATAAGAAAATAAAAAATTTTTTTAGGTAGTATTTGGGAAAGATATAAATATGTAATCATTATAAGCCTCATTGGATTGGCAATTTTGATCATCTTATACTTCGTTTCTGAACGAAAGTTCAATCAGGTAGAATCGTACATTTTGAATTCTCTGGTTTACAAAATTATTTTAAATTCGTTTCATATCATATACAGGGACGAAATATTTCAATCTTTAAATATACACTTATCCTTACGGATTTTA